GAGATGAAGCAAGTGTGACATGAAGCGAGTGTGAGTGTGAGATGAAGCGAGTGTGAGTGTGAGATGAAGCAAGTGTGAGATGAAGCGAGTGTGAGATGAAGCAAGTGTGACATGAAGCGAGTGTGAGTGTGAGATGAAGAGAGTGTGAGAATATGCAAGTGTGACATGAAGCGAGTGTGAGTGTGAGATGAAGAGAGTGAGAGTGTGAGTGTGAGATGAAGCGAGTGCGAGTGTGAGATGAAGCGAGTGTGAGTGTGAGATGAAGCGAGTGTGAGTGTGAGATGAAGCAAGTGTGAGATGAAGCGAGTGTGAGATGAAGCAAGTGTGACATGAAGCGAGTGTGAGTGTGAGATGAAGAGAGTGTGAGAATATGCAAGTGTGACATGAAGCGAGTGTGAGTGTGAGATGAAGAGAGTGAGAGTGTGAGTGTGAGATGAAGCGAGTGCGAGTGTGAGATGAAGCGAGTGTGAGTGTGAGATGAAGCGAGTGTGAGTATGAGATGAAGCAAGTGTGAGTGTGAGATGAAGCGAGCGTGAGTGTGAGACGTACTTCTCTGCTGCACCAGGGTGTCGGTGCTACTGCTGTCACTGTCCAGGACAAAGGCCAAGGTCAAGAGAACCATGCAGCTCCGCACGTCTTGGGGATCCTGTTGGTCAAAGAGTGGAGAAAGGAATGTATTTCACGGAAGAAAAAAAATGTACCTGATTTTTGGGCCAAAAACATACAGGGCAAGCAGTTAAGAAAACAATCCAAGCATATTGACAGCTCACTGTAAGACTCCACTGAATGCCATTTTGAAAAGTGGCATATGATGGGGTCGAAATGTACATTCAGATAGTTATTACAACTAAAATGTCAGTTGTTGTTGTTGTTTTCAAATCCCTTTAGCAGCGAGCATTTCGCTCTTGGCAGCGCAATGCCTCCCTCAAGTAACTACATGTCCTTGTCATCTGGTCAACTCCAGAGTAGAGCAGGCTTTGTAAGTCTGTAGGTGTGTGTAGGAGCCTGCGTTGAAGAACTGCCAGGTTTGGGCAGTGAAGGAAAACTAAACCGTCAGTGAAAATCACAATAAAATATGACGAGAATTGCTCAAGCATATTACAACCAACCACACAACAACAAAGTAGAAAGTAACTCGACCAAGGACAGGCCACGCCATCTCACCTTTCTATTCCTTCTTTTAAATAACGGTGGGAAACTCTGATGTTCAAAATTCAGTCTCATCTGCAAGGTTTTCTTCGCTTTGTCGCTGAGCATAGCCATTGCAATAAGCAGCTGCAGCGCACATTTGATAGTTTTGGATCTGTGGAGAAGTAGAGTTACGAAAGCAAGTCAGTTATAACCTTTCAGCCTTGATAGTTTTTTTTCTAGGGATACCTCTTCAACCTTCATTCATTCTATCACTCCACTTTTTAAAACAGTACGGAAAGAAAACCCCTTACAGCAATTCAACATTAAGCAGGCACGCCAATAGCTTGTTTAGTTACCACGCAGAACTGTTCCAATATGGACAGCCATAACAATAATCCTAAACCCAAGCAAATCCATCTGATCTATAATCAAACTGACTTTATTGAGTGAAGCTTTCATTTCTATTCAGTTTGTTGTTCATTTTACACACATTGGTTAAATAGGAGCGGAGTAAAACGGAAGTTTGTGGTGCTAAAAAATTGGATGACAAAATTGGCTCGTTACAAATGTGGGACATTCTTCCGTTCTCGTATTCCAAGAGACAAATCAGACACAAAAAGCCCTCACTTGTTCTGGTCCCGGAGACACCTGTACACCTGGCCCAGGTGGCCGGCCAGGATTTTCTGCACAATCGTCTCCCCCAGGGAGCTGTGCTTGGTGAGGTCGTTCCGTATCCGAGTGAGGATCCGCTCCAGGCATAAGAACACTTGGCTGTGCTGTGGAGTTAATTACGTTCAACATCGTCACTAGGATCTTACAAAGTTACAATCTATATATTATTTATCAAATATTCATTTATTTTAGTAAGGGTATCCATATATATTGTTTTTCTCAAATATTCATGAATTTATTTTTGTTGTGAAAGTCTCAAGGCACTTGCACCTGCTACACAAATAGGTCAAACATGGGTCCTACAAGTACCTGAGATTAGAGGTGTTACAAAAGAATAACATACAAAGAAAAGAAGAAGGAGAGATAAGGACAATAGATGATATATTAAAAAAGGAGCAAACCACATCAGTCTCAGTTCAGAGATATATTCAATTTCACCTCAAGATACATTTTTGAATGGAAAGAATTACCTGTCCTTGATAAAAACAAATTTTTTTTTTTCAATCAACAATGAATTTACTAATAAGGAAAAGCATATACACATACAACTAGGCACTGCGGTTCAATGTGAAACTTAAAAGCATAACATAAAGCACCATCAAAGTATATATATAACATAACATCACCATCAAAGTATATATATAACATAACATCACCATAAAAGTATATATATAACATAACATCACCATCAAAGTATATATATAACATAACATAAAGCACCATCAAAGTATATATATAACATAACATCACCATCAAAGTAGTGTCTTCAACAAAACCTTTTCCCTTGTGACTGTTTGCATTGGATTATACAAAAGAACAAAATCCCCACTTACTTCACTGGGTTTTGCTGGCGTTTCAGAGGCTGAGTCAATGAGGCTGAACAGTTCGGCACACATAGGAGAGCTCCGGCAATACCCGGCCACAATGTCATGAGAGCACGCTCCATCTGCATACGCGTCAGCCGAGGCCACAAACTTCTCAAGTCCTGACACAAAATGCAAAGAAACGAATTCAATAATAATACAAACTTTGATTGAAAAGGCAGTTTCGACACTAACATTTTAAAATAAAAATTGGTAAATTATTACTTTCACTCCTGCAAACCAAACAGAAGCACTACTTTTGGGGGTCAAACGTCCTCACTCTCTGCTGCAGATCACACATGGCCACGCAAACTGTCGCAAATAAATTATTTCCTCAAAAATATCAAAACTAATTGCAAAACATCAATCTATGGAGGGAGGAGGGGGCATGCCCCCTGAAACGCCCCGCATTGGTCAAAAGCACAAAAATTACTGCTATGCAAATTACGACATCATGAAATGAATGAGCAAGCCCACTGAGCCAGCGAAGCTAAACTTGGCTAACTTGTTCATAATTCCGTATCGTCACAATGCAGTCCCGTCAGAATCTCTCAAGTTGATCTTGAAGAAACAGGACGTTGATTCTATCACCCTGGCATCTAATGTTCGCAACCTGTTTGCTCCTTTCAGTTAATCGGTCAAGATCTCGAGGCAGCTAGCCTGTTCACTCAGTCTACGAACTGCGCCCCCCCCAGGCGTAGCAACTGATGTGCCGAACTCTTATTGATCAGCGGTACATGTTGGGCTAATAGCAGACAGTATTTGCGATTTGTTAAAAAATCCATGGGTACTAGGGATGGGCAGGTACCGGTAACTAGTACCGGAACTCCCGGCTAGGTTACCCATGAAAGTTCCCGTGGTGGCTGGCTACTTGAGCACTCTCACGGGCAGTCGTGAGATTTCACACCCACACTACACTGACCATCTGCATCGCTCCGGGCTCACATGATGGGGTAACATCTACTCCCAAATTGCACCCCTACTCTTCTTCCTCGCCCAGCGGCATGGCAATGCCGTTAAGTTTAGAGACGGCGGAACCAAACTTGTTCGATTTGTTTCAAACAAGAGTTGAGCGGGCAAAGCATTTTCCGTCTTAGGCTGGTGAAACCCTCGGAAGGGAGCGGATTTTTCTTTCCCTTTCCACGTTGGACAGGTTTCCGTTTTATACAGAGGTAATTAAAGAGGAATAGATGTAGAATCTATATCAAGGGGGGAGCGGGGAGAGATTCCGTTAGACAGGTTTCCGTTTTATACAGGTTTCCATTCAGGCAGGTTCGACTGTATATGTTTTTATATATGCTTTTTATCATCTGTTGAGTCATTTTTCAGTAGCATTTCAGATCTCAGCAGATT